CAACTGACCGCCAAACCATACTGCAAAAACAACTTTTGTGAGGATTGTGGGCTTTCCTGGAGTTGTTGGAGCCATTGATGGAACTCATGTTCACATCATTGCTCTAACTGTAAATGAGGAGACATACCATTAAACAAAGCATTAGTAATAATTTGTGATAATTTTGCACAATGCAAAGCATTTAAAAATACATTTAAATTCAAATATTTCAGTCTTAATTAAATGATTTTATTGTAGTTACATTAAATGATTGGTGTTGTGCTGCTGTGACTTTACATGAGCAGGCTCACTATTGGCTGATTCAGAGGTTGAGGTCAGCCATTTTGTGTTGACATCTTTGTAGTCCTTAGTTCACAACACTTAAGTGTCACCTCAGTCAACACTTAAGAATCAGTCTTAGACTTTACTGAAAGGTGCTTTTAGTATCTTTATAAAAGTCTCCTACTCTTAGAAAAGTCCTACTTTTTACTAAGAATTTTTTGACACTTAAGTCAAAGCTTAAGACTATTCTTAAGAGCATTTCTGAGAAGTTTTATACATACGGGCCCTGGTCTTTTCACAATCAGAGAAAAGTGACCAGGTGTAAACAGGCCTTAAGTGTTCAGAGTTTGGCAAAGATATCTCATTCGTTCAAGAGTTATAGGCATTTTACTAAAAGTGGCCCTGCCTCTTTCAAATGTTTTGGTTTCCCTTTGTGACAGTGAGTCAAAAGTTCAACTTTTTTTTTTTTTTCGATAATTATTGATATTCACTCTCCAGAGAATCTTTCTGCACTGGTTTGGTTCCGATTGGGCGAAAAACATAGGACTAGTTTGCAAAAGTAGGTTTTGCAAAAAATTTTTTGCCTGGCTCACAATCGAATCTGGCACGCATTTTGTCCAGCGTGAGCCAAGGATTCCAGCGGCATAAGTCACTTGAGCCTGCGACTGACAGTTTAGGAGTTATAAGCAATTTTGTACTTTTGATCAGGTCGATTGGGGTGAGCCTTGGTGACGTTGTAGGCGGTGTGAGTACTGCCATCCCTCCAAGTTTCAAGTCTTTACGACTAAAGCCTGTGTTATACTTTCCGCGTCCGCGAGTCCGCTATGGTATGCGTGACGTAAAAATCGTCATCGGAGAGTGTGCGCGGAGGCTCTGAGCGGACATCCGCGCGCCTCCCATTAGGCTACTGCGCATGCGCAGGTTGTGTGAAGAAGCCCGTTGCTACTCGAACCTGTACAATCCGTCGATAAAACAATATAAGGACAGCCAGATGTGCAATAACTCTGGGCAATTCTTTGTTCACATGTTTGTTTATTGTTCAAGCCAATCTACTACGCATGAATGGAACACGTCCGCGGAGCGGACCATCAGCGTATGCTTTCGGAAGTATAAATACAAGTAGTCCGCGCTGTCCGTGTGCTCGTCCAGATTGCTCATGCGGAAAGTATAACACGGGCTTTACGGTTTGGTCTGCCCGAAAAGTTTCACATGGAGTTTGCTGATCCTTGGCCATTCTAACAATTACAATAGGTTTTCAGCGCAACGCGCTTGAACCCCTGATAAATACTGCTTTATGTCCATTTTAAATGTTAGTATGTGAATCATTGAGTATTACTTATTATATTTAAAAATAGCAATTGAATTTAAAGGGTACCTATTGTGCATTTTACACTTTCATCTTCCTTTAGTGCATAATGTTGCTGTTTGAGCATGAAAAGATGCGAAAGATAACATTACTCTGGTTACTGATGTAACCTTGGTTCACTGAAATGAGGGATTGAGATTAAGCGACATTGTACAAGCAATGTATCCAGGCACTATGTTAGTTCACAAATTAAGCAGAGAGTCCAGATCATTCAGCATGAGATCTCCATTAGTTTTAGAGGGTAGAGAGTCACGTTTGCACATACTATGAGGATGGGCTGCTTATACTGTGTCAATGAGTGAGCATCTGGACGATTTCAAGTATTGATAGAAGTAGGGATGTTACGAGAACCGATACTACGGTACCAAGTCAGTATAATCATTTTAAAATCCTGGTACTTGTTTTTCTTCAGTAGCGTAAGTACCGATGGTACCGAAGGTAGCGACTAGCGAGGCTGCAATTCTTCTGACGGGGGCAGGCAGAGCATACGACTGGAAGTGTTTCAGTCGGTCCTCAAAGGGTAAAGAAGAAACACCTACAAGCACACAGAAGTACTACACGTGGAAGACGGCGAAGATATATGAATATGATTGTGTGAGATTTAAATGAGTGCGCAGTTCTGAAAGCACGAGCGCTGCGCATGATCACGCACACACATAAAGTTAAGGCCCGTTCAACACCAAAAACGATAACGATAAAGATATAGTTCTAAAAATCATTCTCAATATTAAAGAATAGCAGAGTCCACACCACAGCTATAACGATAAAGGCAGAGGGAAGCGATATTGTTTTTTCCAGCTTTTGAGTGATACAAACATTATTGACACCCAATCAGAATCCATCCTGCTATAACGAGCTCGAGAATTTAAAGGGGCAGACGAGCATGCACTGAGAATAAACAGACAATAGTGTACGCTGGTGTGGACGATAATATAGTTATCTTTATAATTATCTATCGGCCTTGGTGTGAATGGTGCTTTACAGTCTGTCTGACAGCTTACAGCTTGTTAATTCGTTGTGTACCCGTCCGCAGATATCCTTATTAACATTATTGGCTAATATTACACCCATAATTGACTAATGTTTGCATTCAGAGTATAGGTGTGCGTGCGTGTGTGCTATTTTGAAAGCCAAGTGCCACTAATGTTATGTTTTTGTAATGTTAAATAAAGGAGTTAATGTTTAAGTATTATTGTTTATTTTTTCCCTGTGGTATCGGCTTGGTATCGAGTAGGGCTGCACGATAAATCGCATGCGATACTTAATGCGCATCTTGTCAGAAAGCCGGTTGTGTAATCAGCGGTAAATCTTAACGGCTTTACTGACAAGATGCGCGTTAAATATCGCATGCGATTTATCGTGCAGCCCTAGTATCGAGTATCGTGTACTTTTAGTCATGTATCGACTACTAGATTTTTGGTATCGTGACATCCCTAGATAGAAGGCAGATCACTACTTCACGGCAGTTGCCACCCCAAATTTGCATGCTTGAACAACATTGGCTACATGCTCATATATTCTAGGAGAAAGGAGTTCCCCCATAGCATCAGTTATCTGACACAATGTTCAGAGTCCTGTACTGAAAGGGACTTCTGGCTTTGTGTGCGCACACTTTATGTGTGTGCTTTCTTCTTCTTTTGTGTTTCGAATTAGAAATTAAGTCTTATGTTTCGAATGTTGTGAGCTTGGGTAATTGAAGATTGTTTTTTTTTTTTGGTGAAGTATCATTTTAATATTAACCCTAGTATAACTACTTTAACGTCCTCTCGTAGCTTATGGATTTTTGACTTTTGAAGTATTTTGTTTTCAGATCATTAGCTTAATTCATCAAGATGTGTTTGGTTTGTAGGTCTGAGCCAGCAGAAAATGTGTCACACATCCTGGAGCAGAATCGCTGTCTGCAAGATGAAAACAGCAAGCTGATCCGAGAATTGAGTGAGGCTGTTGGACAGACGGCTCTTATGTTTGAAAGGATCATCATGGTAAGACTTTTTGGACATCTTCATCTGTGTAGTTCAGGGAATGTTAGTTTATCCGTTATCCATGTTATTTGTTGCTGAAAATGACCAGTGTTCTGCATGGTTTGCTGGTAAAATAAAAAGGGCTAAATACAGTTTTATCACTGTTAATTCACCCACCATTGACATGTCGATTCTGGGTATGATATTGTTTGGAAATATAGAAGCTTTGGCTATTTTTGCCGAACCAATTTCTTTACTGTAAGGTTACAATTTTTTTTTTCTAATTTTGTGTATTAATTTAATTGTTTGGTTGTTCTTTTAGATGGAGCAGACAAATGAGAAACTGCAAAGCAAACTGGAGGAGTTGAGGCAGCATGCAGCGTAAGTATCAATGTTTTACCAATCTGTGGACTAGTGAGGTTAATGGGTTTGGTTAGAAATCTGAACAAAATCTCAATAATGAGAGGTTTGTCACTGTTTCAGGTGTAAGGTGGACCTACAGAAGATGGTGGAAACCCTGGAAGACCAGGAACTGAAGGAGAATATGGAGGTGATCCAGAGCCTTCAACAGCTTATTCTAGAACTGCAGGTAATAGAACTGGGATTTGGTGGAGAATGTAATGTGTATTTATTTTATTTATTTGAAGAGTGGAGATGGGACTTCTAGTTCAAATTATGTGGATGTCCACGTAATCAATAGCTCCCCATATTCAGTTGTTTATCAGCCGAAATTAAAATGCAAAATTCATGTTCAGATTAAAATGTTTGAAGGGCAGAAATGATGAGTCAGAAAACCATTACTAATCAAAGAAAAGGAACTGAATAAAGTATAATCGAGGATGCAAGTACTTGAGCTGAAAAAATTACATAGTTCTTAAGGGTTGTGTTTTCCTCCACTCTACCCTTAACAGAATGACTTCAAAAGTCTGTTGTACATTTGACATACACATTTAGATTAAATATGACACCCTCATTAACCCCTTAACTGTCAAAGATCGGTGACGGCCCCAGATTATTGTTGTTTCACTTTAACAGCACGTTAAAACATCACACTCTTACTTGATCTGGACAAACTGTGCATCAGTTGAAAGATTAAAGACTCTAGCTTCGATATTTGACCACTGTTTTAATTAAACATTGTTGCAGTGACAGTAATTTAGTCATTTATATCAGGAGTGCAAAATAATAAATCCGTATGTCATATTTGGAATAGAAATTCACCACGCATTCATATTCAGTCACGTCTGCAGTGGTTTATTTGTGTTCACACAGCTTTACTGAACAGCGCCAATAAGGGCTTTATAGTCCAAAGATGCATATACATGGAGATATATAGATATATTTACTCATGATTACTTCAGACAGAATCATCATTCTATTCATTTTCCACTGATTTACGCAATCTGATGATAATTAGCACCTCCCTGGGCTGTCTCAGTGTGTTTACTCTTCCGTGCTCATGCTGTGACTGAGAGAAACCTGATTCGTCCATCGCCTGTCAATCATAACTGCGCATCATATCCCGCCCCATCTCATAATGTCACACGTTTCCCTACTCTTCCGCGTTCAGTTCTCTCCACAACAAACACAGAGAAACGTCTGTACCCACGAAATATGCAAATAATAAACACATGATTACAATAGTATATGGTTTGTATGTGATTTTCTTGAGATTTGGGGTATTTTCATAACAATAAAGAATGTGTACATCTGAAATGCTCATTTGTGCAGCGATATAAAAGGCTATAAATAGCATATTTTAACAACAGTAAACGAACAAATGCCACATGTGATCACAAAAGGAAGTTATTACAAACACTCGATGGTGGTTTAAAGTGAGTTTTGAGTAAAAGGGTACTATTAATGTCATAAATTGTCTTATGTAGCTTGATGCGAATGTTAGCTCTAATGCAGCTGCAGAACAGGTGCAGATCTTTATGTATTTTGTCATAATAATTGACGTAAGGTCGTAAGAAAATGTTTTGTTGTATTTTTTTAGAAATACATTTGATAAATAGTTGGGCAAATGTATACTGGGATTGAAGCGATGTGGCTTGGTAAACCTTGTGATTCCAGAATAAAGGCTTCTAATGGCTGAATAAAACAAAAGAATAATGATAAAGGAATAATGAGGATAATGTCTCATACCTGGCGAAGGTGTGAAAGGTTCGTCAAATGAGAACAATAGAATCATGAATTGGGCAGTTTGCGAGGCCAGACATGAGGCTACAGCACGCAGGAGAGCTTACAGGGGGCAATATTTTTATTTTTGTTTTTATGTTTGAGCTTATATATCTCTATTAGCATAACAGTCTGAGTAATTCTGATTCTTGAACCGTAAACTTTGAAGTCTCAGCTTTATGAACATATGTTGATTATGTATCTAGTCAGAAAGACTCATGAGCAGCAACCTTTTTATTTTGGGTATGTCATTTGTGTCTCCATGCTGAAAAGGGGGGGTGACAGCAAAGGGGTTAATGGAGTTAAGCACTCAAATTACAAAGTCATTATCCAGAATTTAAAACAAAAATTATATGAATTTAGATATTTTTAAATTACAGAACTCCTGTTCTGATAAAATACTTTTAGTGAGAACAATGATCAAATATAGCTGTAAGCAGCGAATGCGGGAACAAGCCATCAGTGCAAAAGTCACCCCGGTGGCATCAGGAAAACGGTGCACAATGGGCACATGCATTTACAGAAACCTCTGGCAGTCTGGTTTTAAGGGTTACAGCAATCAAAGGGTTAAACTATAACAGACACACACACACTTACAATACCGTTCCATTTGGTAACATTAACTATATTAAATAACATGAACAATATTTAAATAGCATTTATGAATCTTAGTATTAATTTATGAATCTTAATATTAAGTTCATAATAGTGTAGAGTGGAGTGTAGAGGGTGGGAAGAGGGGAGAAAATAACCAATAAAACAGACCTACAACACATTCATTATACAGACAAATGAATATTAAAATGTGTGCAGAGAAAGAAAGAAAAAACCATCAACAACGGAGATAGGGGCCACGTTGGTATATTTTAAAAAACTATTATAATAATGAAAATGAACTCAAGAAATTGTATCGTTAGAGACTACTAACAACTATCATAAACAAATCCGATATGTTTTTATAAATTATTATTTGAAATAAGCAGAGATACTGGTCTATATGAAAGATGAAGAATATTTAAAAGTTCTAATAATATTTACACGTTTACCAGCACTACATTCTCAGAACAAATGACACACATTAGTTTAAAACAGAAAGAATAAAAGCATGGTTACTTTTTGTTTACTCTTTGAATTCTCTGTCTATATCATTGTTTGCGGTGTATCACAATAATCCGTCGTGTCACGTTTAGGGGTGATCCGATCAGGATTTTTGAGGCCGATCGTCGATCACAGGAAGCAGTATCTGCCGATACGATCACCGATACTGATCTTTTTAAAGTCTTCTTTTTATAATGTACAATTATTTATAGTGATACGCCAATCAGGATTTTTAGACATTTATTCAGGGCCTGAATTAGGGTTGGGCAGTTAATCGCCGATGGCTGATAGACATCACGATGTTGAGCTGGCAATCCGCCGCATCCCAATACCGTGTTCGGAAAGAAAATTACGTGTACTACAGAACCTCTAAGGGAATAAATACGAGATGGGAGGACACAATATTTTCTCTCGCAGTTATATCATTGGGCAATTATACTGTATATAAATTGCGGGCATGAGGGAGCCGCTACTGTGCCTGGCATTGAAACTGCTTTTGAATGCATAATCGCTTTTTAGTTTAGTTTCAGTTTCGAGATTTGCGATCGCACGTACTGTACTCTGTTTATACTATGGAGTGCCTTTACTTACCACACATTTTACAAGATTAGTAAATCTTGTCAGTGAAATTTTAGGTACTGTAATGTAACAGGCAACTGTTAGCAATCCTTATTGGTTTTCCGTGCCTTTCTGAATACGGATTCACTCTTCGGGCACACCCCCTAACTCCCCCCACCCCCGATGTCATCGTCCATCACGATGTTTCACTGTAGAAAAATCATTTTGAAAATGAGGGGAATTCTCCTCTTATTGGTGACTCTAGTGAGGGGGATTTTTTTATTTTTTATTTTGAGGGGTGGAGGATGGGCAATTTTTAGACATTTTTCAAAAATATATAATTATCTCACCTAAATGTTTGATCATGCAGTGCATTTTTGTTTTTCTGTTTGAGTACACAGTAAAAAACACCCAATTGTTGCTTGTGTTTTTCTTAAAATTCTGGAAATTCATTCAATCCTAGATAAAATAAAAGGAAAATTTGGACTTTAAATGAGCTAGACTGAAACTTCAAGTTCTCCTGTTTATAATGATATATGGCACTTGATGCTGACTGCTAGAATTGGTCTTAAAAAACAAAGAAAAGTTCAGGCGTGTCAGGTGCCCCAAAAATGTTCTAGGTCATTAAGGGTTAAGTTGCTCAAGCAAGTGGCAAAACATTTAAACTAGTTTTTTTACATTATCACAAACATTCTAAATAAAAAACTGGTTACACTTTATTTCGATAGTCCACTTTAGACATTCTATTTTGCATTTAAATCTTTATTACAAGCCTGCTGTTCATAAAGAACTTTGTTTTCCTACCTCCATGAGTGCCATCTATTATTGCCTTGTTTATATAAAAGTGCTCTTTTCCTTTAAACCTAGCCAAAAAGCCATATGTGTTGACTGTGAAACACAAACTTTAATTATATGCAATTATGGTGTAATTACCTACATTTTCGTATCAATGTTCATTTTTACCGCAAACAATGCACTGTCACTTTAATTCAGCGCATGCAGCACAGCAAAAATAGACTCAGTGTGGAAACGATCGCTGCACTGCTGCATACGCACCGCTCCTGGAACGCACTCCCGGATGGCAACTGCGTGCATCGTGAACGCTCTAATCCGTTAACAAGAGCGCAGAAAAAAATATGCTTTTTAGTGATTATAAAGGCTCTTTTTGTGCTTTCTATATAGCCTATAATCCATTCAGAATTTGTATAGAACTTTTATTGAATGACATGTGCATATTTAGGCGGGATTCACACTTGAAAGAGCAATCGACGAGACAAAAATATACGTGAAAATGTATGTGAATTGAGGCTAGAGCACACTTTCTGAAGCACCATCAGTATTTAATTCTGGAACCGGGTCTGGATAAAACTAACTGAGCAGTTTTCATAGTAGCTCATATTTAGGTGATCACATGGTGTTTTATGTGGCAGTAGGCTACGAAAATCTCTAGAATCTCTATACATTTTCAGTAAACATTAATGCACACAGGCTTCATCGAATAATCCTTGCATCTGTTGATTTTATCTGATGTAGATTATTTGGTTTTATTTAGTGCAAATCTCCGGTTTCATCAGCTCTGATAAGTAATAAACAACATTATATGTGGCCAGTCAACGTTAACTATCATTTAAAGGGGTCATAGGATGCTACATGCACTTTTACAAGTTGTTTGAACTGAAATGTGTGTTGGCAGTGTGTGTACACAACCACCCTATAATGATAAAAATCCACCCCGTGTTTTTTTTTTAATCT